TAACTCTACGCTATAGAGTTTTGACAGTTTTAGAAACAAATTTTCATGAAGGTCAATAAGCACAGCATTTATTTTAGAGGTAGTTATCTCTTAAAGGAAACATGATGAAAACATTAGATCTTTTTCAGTTTAAAAGATGAGTGATTTTTTAACCATCAGGGTTTTTTAGAAGTGGTAGAACGTTACGAAAATTTTTCATATTGTGATATGAAATAGAAAATATACTCCTTAATTTCATAGCTAAAGGAGTTTCTCTTTAGCATCCATAATAATAAAATTATCAAATGGCTTTTTAATTGTAAGTTTTATTGCAATTTAAAAATCAAAACTAGTGTACATAATTTTTTCCTGCATATTATGTTATGTATGTTATACCTGTATTTTATACCTGAGAACACATGAAACTTTTACAAATAAAGACCAACTTTTAAGGCATATCCATGGTCACACATCTACACTCAGAGATGTATAGCTAAATGTTTTTAATTGCAATTCTGTTGTCTTTGCCCTTGATAGCTCAATTTTTACATGTTCTAACTGCGTGCTTTTTCATGGATAATGTATAGTAGTAGAATAATTTCAATTGCATGGTGCGTCCTATTCCTCTTAGAAGTATTTTAAAGAGTTCTTGTCATATTTAAAGAGTTTTAGTAAGTAATCATTTTAAGGCAATTCTAATAGCCTATCTTTTATGAAGTAGATGTACTTTCATTCCTAGTCACAGTGTGCTCAGTATGCTGCTGACAGAAGAGAGGAGGAGAAGATGTGTGATCATCTTATCAGTGCTGCTAAGCATCGGGATCACGTTACAGCCAATCAGCTGAAACAGAAGATACTCAACATACTAACAAATAAGCATGGTGCCTGGGGAGCCGTTTCTCACAGGTAAGCTGCAAACATAAAATGTGTGGGTTTTAAATGTTACTTTCAAAGTTTAAGAAAAGTAGTCATTGTATAACTGAAATATGAATGTATTAGGAACTAGTATTGCTAAAATATATTTTCTCTGTTAGTCTTTTCTTCAGCTGGTTCTTGAGAAGTCCTCTTTGCTAAAGATTCACAGGTCAAGCTCCTTTATAGACTGCAAACATAATATTTTGCCATATTTTAAATAAATCGTAATTGGTATTTGTTGACTATAATGCAATTTTACTGCTAGCATATCAGTAGGTTTTGAGGCTCCTACCAGTATTAGAATTTGAGTGAAGTGTTCTGAATGAGAGAGAGAGATGTAGAGATTTCCATATAGACATCGACAGAGGAAGCCTGAAATAAAGAAGAGAGAGTCAAAACGACTTGTCTAACCTTATAGAGTAAGTCAGTATTAGAATAACGAGCAGAACCAGGTCACTTGAGTCGCTGGCTAATGCTTTCTTCTGTTTATAGATATTTCTGTGCAAGTAATGAACTGGTAAGATCCACTGGTAAATCTTAACTCTCCTACAACAAAACAGTAGTCAGCGCCAGCCATGCATAGTCAAACTCTGTATGCTTAAAGCAAAACTTATATTGTACTTAAATGTCCCATGTGCAAAGCTGAACATAACCAAAGTGCAGCTCAATTCTACAGGTACTGCTGTTAAAAAAATGATAAAATAAAAAAAACATGATCCAAAATATATAATTCTTACTGTATGCAAGTGGTTTTGCATACTGTATGCATGAGGTTTTAATCAAAGCTGTGTTGAATACTGTTTTTAAAAGTTCATTCTATTCAACATAGGGGTGAAATTAAACATTTTCATATATCATGCAAAAAAACCAGAGCCTGGCTCTTCTGAATCACAAAAATAGCCAGTGGCTAAGGTGCTGACCCTCATGTGGAAGACATGAGCTCAAATTGCTCCTTTCCTTCATTTAGAGCAAGGTCTTGAACCTGGGTCACTGCCATGTGAGTGCCCTGTCTGCAAAACTAGAGACTGCCAAGTCTCTCTCTTATTTGTGCATTCTAGCCACAAATATTTGATTATTTGATTATTTATTCAAAGTAGAACAGCTCAAACAAGAGAAATCAAGGAAGTTCTGCTTCCAAATACCCACATTTTTATAGTTTAATTTTCTACTTAATCCTGCTTAAGTCTGCTCTGAGTCAGGCAGAGCAGATCAGAAAGTTCCATTTCAGCTCTGAAAAACTTTTTCAGTAAAAATCTAGTTGAGATGACTAATGCAAAACCTTTTCTCTAGATAAATATTTTCTTTCAAAAAAATCTATATGAATCTAGCTTGAATACATATCTAGGGCTTAAGCTTATTAGAGAAGTTGTCAAGTAATAAATTTGACACATCGGTAATAATGGTTAATAAATACCACATATACTGTTCATTCTTTTTGTCATTCTGTCTAGTTGGTTCTTGCAGTGATACAGTGTTGAAAAATGTAATTTTTCATGTTCACCATCCTTTTATCCTTACATCTTCCAAAGAAACCACTATTTCCTGGATGATGATGGAGATGTATTTATTTTTTAAGGTGGTAGAAAGTGTAGAAATTCAGTCTTATGGAAATTCTGTAGTCTAACACCAGAGACATGCTGGTGGAAATTACAAAAATGACATGTAGAAGATTGTGATATAGTTAATTCAAAACAGCCTTAGTCCATAATGGACACTCGTGTTATCTCTAGTTGAGGCTTAAAGCTGTGTATCTGGAACCTTGAGCCTGATGAAAATAAATGCAATTTTCAGTCCTATTAATGTATTTGAATTTTTTTATAATGTTGTTGCTCAGGTTCGTGAATGGCGCAGATACTTTGCAGGCTTAAGTCAGTTCCTGGTCACTAACTTTTTCAGAAGACCATCTCTTCTTTGGGCCAGATAACTTTCCTCTCCTGGATTGTTGATGGCATCCTAAATGGCAACAGACCACTGCTGCAGCTTTTTTTGCTCTTCAGTCCATGATAGTTTTTGATGGGCCATGAATCAGCTTGACACCTATGACAAACCCCTCAAATTTCTTACATCAAGCAAAAGAAACTCTTATTTTATTCATGTCATGCCACTTCCCTGATGTGCCTGCTTCTTAATTACTTGCAGTGCTGCTTTCCTATTTTGGCGCTCACCGTTTTAGGTGCCGCTGTTGGCCTGGTTGTATTTCAGCTGCGGGCTGCTGCTTAACCTGGAGAAGGGGCGACATGTCGACAGCATGAGGTCTCCAAGTGGGGCTCCCCATTTGCAGGAGCCTGTCAGGAGGCAAATGGCCTTGCACTGCAGGTCTTGCTATGTGTGCCGTGGCAGCTGTGTGATCCACCACACAAGTGCATGAGACCTCTCTCTGTCATGAGTCCTGGTGGACTGTGAATGGAAAGGCCTAGGATGGCAGCAGGTATGGGGAGGTGCCCAGGGGGAGAGCCTCTGAGCCTTGTTAAGAACCAAGGTCACTGGTTCTCAATGGGCAGATTTAAAAGGCTTCAAGTGCAGAAAGTAGAGAGGGGTCTCATTAAACTGCTTAGGCACAGAAGGCAAAACCTGTTGTTCATTAGGTAGTTCCTCCAATACTCTATATAAGATGGAAATTGAGATAGGTTCTAAAATTGTACGTACTTCTGGTCTTGGCTGGCAGGAGACACAACAGGCCTCAAGTCTCTGTTTTTAATTCCTGACAAACAGTTACAGCATTAGAAGTCTGTTTATAAACTGTTGCTTCTCTGTGCCCCAGGACATACAGACTGACTGGAATATAGAGTTACTTAAGAAAAAAATAGATTGACAGTCCAGACCTCTAGACCTCTGTAGTGACTCCATCATTTCTGTCCGGGAGAGCGTTCCCAGTTCTGAAGGCACACTGCTGGTCTCCTGTCCATCTCTTGTGCTGGAGACCATTCGCTGAAACAGTGAATTAGGGAGATCGTTCTCAGGCCCAGGACGGGCAGGGGAAGAAATAGGCAACCGCCTATGCATTGATAAATACTCCAGCAATAGCAATGCCTTTTGACATCCAAAATGGATAAGATAGGTAAGAAACTATTTGGGGGGGGGATGAGTGTGACTCTTAAAAGTTTCAATTCTCTATCACATACACAATCTGCAGCTACTGATTTACTGATAATTGTAGCATATAGTACATATATATGTGTTTTTGTTTATCTCTGCAAGGTAAAGAACAATTTTTAAGTTCTTTAACATAGATGCTCATGTTATAAAATATTAAGGTCTCATTTTCTGAAATATGACCCAGCTGTAGAGACAATTTTTCCTTGTATTTGTGGTTCAACACAATGAACTTGTAAGCCTCCCCAGCTTTTGTGTCTGCGTGTACTATTTTTGCAGAAAGCAGCTACAAGCATTTGCTGTGTTTCATCTGTAGGTGCCACAAAGTTTACCCTTTGTTCATTAAGAAACAAAGAGACTATTAGGAAACATAGAAACTTAGCACTGGGAGGAAAAACAAGAGGTCTGATGAGTGAAATTCTATAGTATTTGTAAATTATGAATTTTAAATATATTATCATAAACTCTTCTCAAAATAGCTGAAGCAACAAGAACGAAGTTGAATGGTGTGAGTCAACAAAATACCGTATGAAACTTTCAATTCTAAATTAGATTATAGTTACATATAGTTGAATTAAAAATAACATAAAATTGTAGGTGATTTGCATTTCAATTACCTTCTTAATTAGCTATTAATTTATGAAGGAGAAATTAATTATATGCAAGCGCTCCACCACTTGAATAAATGCCTACAAACACAGTAGCGTTGTACAACCTATCGCTGTCCATGCATCAATCAGTACAGTTTGAGTTGGTCTGAGAACCTGTTTACTCTTTCATCTCCTTCTGTCTAAAAATGTTAAATAACAGTTTTGAAAAAAACCTTTATTTTGTATTGCTTATCAGTGTTAACCTCTTTCCTCCTTCACAAATATTTTCCCTTCACCTCTTAAAGTGAAAACCAAAGTTCTTTTGCTCAATTTCTTGAAGGTGTGAGCATCAACTCCTCTACAACAAAAGGAAATTATTGAATCTTATTTTTTCCTACGTATCTCAGACAGAGAGTAATAGATTTCAAAATAAATCTCATTAGTTTGTTATAAATCCTGTTTGTGCCCTTAAACCAAACTAATTCTGTTTTCCTGATTTTGGCAATTTGACACTTTTAGGTACCTTCATAATAGCTTACCCTAAACATACTGGTTTTCCCTTTTTTAATTTCAGCATTATACCAAAATTAGAATTCTGCAGGTTTTTCAGATGAGAAATTGATGAGTTGGTTATTTCTTTGATGTATTGCCACTTATTCAGAGTGAATATGCAACATCCTATTTCCTTGAACTCAGGAAGAATCAAACAGGGTGTTTCATAGCTTAGCGTTCAAAGCTTCTTTAAGTCAGCACTTACCCTTAGCTTTTTTCAGGGTTATAGTCTTCATGTCACAACATATGCTTCCTTCTGTCTTCTCTGTCAGCTTCATATGGTGCTTCTCTTCCTCCCCATCTGCTTCTCTCCCCATACACATCTTCCTTAAAAAAAAAATAAATAGTGAAACCTGTCTGTACACACAGTTCAAATTCCTTATCAGCCATATGCATGCCTGTGTTTTGGGCCATAAACTGTTACTGTGTTTGTTTGGAATATTCTCTTATTTTAGCTTCTTTGTTTAATCAGATATCTCAAGTTTTCAAAAACTTTTATTCAAGAATGCTGTATATATAGCTCTACCTTACAGTTTCTATAGGTTTAAGGCAATCTAGGGCAATAGAAAGAGTTCTGAGTTCCAGTTTGTGATCTAAATATGAAATACTTGTTATAGATATTTTCACATGATCAGTTTTGATATACACAGGGGGATTACTATAATAAGAAAAATGACATTTAAAAATGAGACTTGGTTCTTTTGCTTTCCGTGATTTGATGAAGGAGGTTCAACCTACATTAAAGCAGCTTTACCA